CACACCCCCCCCCCCCCCACACCCACCCCACCCCCGCGCCCACACCACACCCACACCCACCCACTCCCACCCACACCCACACCCACACACTCACACAAACACCCACACCCACACCACCCACACCCACACACCCCACACCCACACACTCACCCACACCCACACCCTTCTGGTTCACTAAAAAATAATTCAAAACCTACAAAACCTTCATCATCATCGTCTGTAGCAATAACCAACCGTTATTTATCAAAATTTTAAAAACAATGGTTATCTAATTCAAAATATTCTTCATTTTTAAAAGAGTGTAAAAGTAACACAACAAAAGCCTTACGTATTGTTTGTAATATTCAATTCTCAATTCAAAACGGTAGAATAACTAATATAAATAATGATAGGAAAACGAAAAAATATCAGTTGTTTAAAATTAGCTGAATCAAACCAATGTAATGTTTTTCGTGCTAATTTTACTAGGAAAAAATATTCCTAGTATGTTGTTTCTCTTTGTAGCAAAAATAATAAATTCAGTATTCAATTCAGGCACATCAGACCTTAACCGTTTATGTGCTGCTGAAAGAACTCTAGTATTTCACGGTGTTAAGCATTCTCATAGTTATTTATCACAATCGCGCACCACCGACTTGACAAAAAATGTTTTTCAGATTCGGTTATAGCAAAAAATACGACGTGCAGTGAGACTAAAGTAGGGTTTTCTGTCTCTTTGTAGAATGTGTTACTTATCTAATGTTTAGGTTTATGCCTGATTTCGATAAAAATCTCCTGGATTTTCTCCTGATTTTAAGTGATATTCTCCGGGTCAACTCCTGGTTTTTTTAATTTGAATTTGGCAGGCCGGTTCATGGTGTCAAATAAAGTAAATCAAATACAAACAGACTATTTCATAATAAAAGAAAATGATAGTAATCAGTATTTTTTATATTTTTAATTGTGTCTTCGAAAGAGTAAACAATACTGCCAGAATAGTGAGGAAGCTACTAAATTTCTTGATGTCTTGCCAACGTTCCGCCGCCAAAAGAGTTAGCACTGTATCGCGACAAAGCATGATTAGATGATTTGACATCGGGTTCGAGAATCTCTGACATATTCATCCTGATCCTTATCCTCGAGAAATGGCTTTATTCCTTTTTCGCTTTTCCTTGTAATTTCAATATTGAACTTCACTGATCCTGTAGTAGAAGTGATTTTGAAGCGTTACAAGATTCTGTCGTGCCACGATCAATCGAATTTGATGCCTAATCTACGAAAACAGAAGTATTACACAGTTTTTTGAGTTTTCATTTCACAGAAAAATGAACAACATAGCATTCAAAAATCATCTTCAACTTAATATGAAATGTCTTTTCAACGTCTGTAATCATACTACAAGATGAAATCCATGTTTGCGTTTGATAGCTTGCCGAAGTCTATTTTTGCCTTTTTCAGATACACTACACTGTCGTATGTCGAGTCTGTTCAGTGAGTTGTTCAGGTTGAGCATTTGAACGAGAGAATCGACACTCGAGTCGGTCACCAGTTCGTTTTCATCGATGTACAGCCAATTGAGAGTGTTGTTGTTGTGAGTGAGCGTCTTGGCTATCATGCAAACTCCTTGATCACCTATCTCATTCTCGGATAAGAATAGACGAGTCAACGTTTGATTTGTCTTGAGCATTTGAGCTAGATGCTGTGCGCCATCATCAGTGATACCAACCGAGGAAAGTGCAAGTTTCTTAAGGGTTGAATTATTTGTTTCAAGTGCCTTTGATATATAAGCAACACCCATGTCAGATATACGATTCTCGTTGAGATTTAATCTCTCCAATGTTGTGTTATTGTTTAATGCAGAAGCGATAATCGATGTACCTTCTGATGTAATTGCATTGTTACGTAAATATAGCTCCACACACCGTTTGTTGGCCATCGCTTCTTTAACCACGATATACATGTCTTCATCAGTCAAGTTTTGTCCTCTCAAGTTTACCAGCGAATGTATTGGACATTTGTCGATTCTATCTTGAAGCTTCTGATTTCGATGAGATGAAAGCGAATTGGCGTCTTTAATAAAAAAAAAGAACATCATCGTACTCAGTCAGACAAAGAACGAAAAGAACACATAAAATGCGTCAAAATTTTAACGAAAACAAAACTAGAAAAAGTACACATTCTTACGTGTTCATAAAATAATAAAATATATGAACGAATACCTATTCGCTCAAGTTCTGTAACACGATATGGACACGCAAAAGTGTAAGCCTTTGATAAGGATACTTTCGTTCATATATGTTAGCGTAGCTTTACTTCGTTCAAAACCCAATGCGTTGAAAAGTACGTTTCTTTTTATGACTTCATTTATATTGAGGATATTTAGTGTGTTTTTATGTCTTCAACTTTTGAATTGAGTGCATGCCTATAAAGAACTATCATATTCACAGACCTGAGCTACATAAGAGACAATTTCGATGAATCCTTGATTATTTCAAGTCTGTTACCATCTTCTAACAATGATTTATCAGTTTAATTTTGATACAGAGGAACCTATATCGAATGTAACATTTTTCTGGCCGTAAACTTGATCAAAATTAACTAATAAGTTGTTGTTATAGGACGACAAGAAGTTTCAAATAACGAAGAAGTCATTTAAACTATTCTTCAGGAACCCGGGTATATGGAATAAGATTGTTCTCATTGAAAATATAGTGGATTCAGAAACCGAAAGCTTCGTAACTTGTAAAATGAAATATACGATAGAAAAGTTATTCTAAAAGTTACAGTACATTATTATTAGAGGTCACACTAATAGAACTCATAAATATGCGTATTTTCACGGCGACGTTCTCATGATAAAATTATTTTATCTCACGTCTCCTGAAGAAAAATAGTTTTTAAATATGTCGTAAAAATTCTCTTGCCGCTCTTCATAAAAAAGATTACTATGTCACGCGATTAGTTGAAGCATATAATAATGCAGATATGGGAAATCAGCTACAAATTGGAAGGGAAGAAAAACGAAAATGAAATACTCTCGACTCTGCTGTATAATTTATTTATTCGTCTAGTCTGGCAAGGCAAACATATCCTTACGCTACAATCTCTTCAATTCAGTTAATACAGTTTATTCGTTTACGAAATGAATAAAAAACATAGTTGCTTTTGTGTTGTATCACTGTTAGATCTGTTCCTTCTTCACATAATAGTAAACTTTAATATATCAAATTTTTAATTGATTCTTTGCCTCTTTTTACTTATTATAATCCTCACAATTTCCACTACTCATTCATGCTGAAAGGAAAATACAACAATTTCAATGGTTTTAAGAAAATTCGATCGTCAATTAGAGTAATAACAGATTCTGAATATGTTACGAATATTACTGATTCAGTAAATATCTCTTCAGATCCAAATGATAAAGATTTTCTGAACAACACAGAAATAACTATGAACAAAAGAAGAAAATATCTTTAATAATATCTATGATCAGACAAGTATCAGATGCATATAAGGAAAAATTACAAAAAATAACTATTCTACATCGCAAGTAGATCGGAATCAAATTTGAACTTTAAGAAAAAACATTTATGTCAAAGCTGAGTGTTGGATTCAATTAATGAATATTTGCAGCTCTGATATTTAGAGCAGTTATCCTATTACGCAATGTTGAACATTACGGAATCAGTTCTATCCAATTCCAAAAACTCCATCTTTATACAACATAAGAGGCTTACTCGACATTAATCGAGTTCCACCAATTCCCGGAATTTCGGAATTTATAGGAATTCCTAGGAGTTCTCGAGAATTTCATTTAATTCCGTCTCCACTGAATTCCTGGAATTCCGTACCGGAATTGAACTGAACTCCGGGAATTGACTGAACTCGATCAATATCGAGTGGGTCTCTTATATTGAATGACGATCGAGTTCCCGGAATTGGGTCGAACTGATTCCGGGACGAAATTGGTTCCGCAATGTTCAACATTGCGGAATAGGATGTATTCTCGATATTTAGATATTCATAGTAATATAAAATTTGAAACTTGAATTCAGTTATTGAAGACTCTTTCAGATATTTAAACATTCAACTATCGAATATCTGGAGTTCAGATATTCAAGTATTTGTTTCCGTAATAGCCTCATTGGAAGAACTTCGCTGTGTGTGTGTTCCAAAACACGGTTAATGAAAGAGAATATTTGAATATGTAAAAATCTGAACTTCAGATGTTCAATAATTGAATTCAACTTTCAGATTTGACATAGATGATACAAGATGGGGTTATAGTAGCGATTTACTTTTTTTCATGATGTCGTCTCTATATGACTTTTCGTTTAGTATTTGTCTTGATATATGTATCTCTTTCTTCTCACTTGTGTGATAAGTATACAAGGATATGGAAATAGAGAAATATACACAACTAATAACATAACATAAGTTAATAAATATGATTATTGTAGGTGACACTTACAGTACTTCTCTAGTTTTTCGTTACAATGACCTTCCACGATCTTCTACATTTTCATCATCATCCCTCTCGTTTCTCGATGGATCTTTCCCATTCCAATTCCCTGAATATGTGGCACTCCTGGAACACATCTGATTTTCACTTTATTCAAAACTTTTTACATGCTTTTTTTGTGTCACGGCAGTAAAATCCTTCTATTGCTGACAGTCTATCGCATCAAAGAATTTTGAAGATAAAGGAAAATACAACAAAATTACCTTGGTCTTTAGTCGATGCAGTATTGGGACTTGAAATTTCTTTCGTTTCTGTAGAATTTGTGCGTTTTTCCGGAGACTGGATTCTGATTGATGGTGCAGATGCGTCAAAAGGAGGAGCAATAGTTTGATATGGTGGTGTTTTTTCTCGTAAATGAATCATATACAAATCTGTAGCTGCTTTCCACTTATCTACTACTTGAAAATAACTGCCTGGTATGAGTAATATTTCATTTTCTTCTTTAAAATAAGAATGGGTCTTTATAGCCTTGCCATTAATACATTCAATAGTAAATAAGGTACGAACACCTTTCGATCCAACAAATGTTTCCATTTTTTGCATCGTTTCTGTACATGAACTTGCACCCCACCATATATGATCTTCATCATATTGATCAGTTAAATTACCGACAACACCACGCCATATAGTACCCTTGAATGATGGAAGCTTGTACAAACCAGTAAAGAAAAGTTTAAGAAAGAGAAACCATGGTATGAGTGTTTCTCTGTGTTTAGAGCGAAGTTTCTGATTAAGGATACTATAGAGACTTGGATATGGTTCGGGCCATTGCATCGTATACAGATGAATAGCAGCTGATTCATCAGGAGTTAAATCATTAGCTGGTTTACGCGAGTTACGTCTTGCTGTTTCAGCCATTGAGTCAGCGTTATGAAGCAAAGATTTAATCGGTTGAATAGCATTTATAAGTGATACCAATGGTGCTTTTTCGTACCCTTCGATAGGTGTTAACGCTTGATCTGGTTCTTCTCCTGCATCAAGAAAACGATCGGGAACAATTCTTTGAGCCATGAATCAGCTGAAAATATATCTTCAAATTAAAAAAAAAACAATGGCAGCGATTGTGGGTGTGGCTGTGGTGTGTGGGGCAGGTGTGATTGTTGGTGTGGCTGCGCGTGTGGAAATTTTGTGGATGATTTTGTGTGTGGCTGTAGGTGCGGATGCGAGTATGGGTGTCGATGTGACTCAAGCTGATAAACTTTTGGAAAAAAGGGTTTAAACGCGCAGATAGCAATGGCGACTGAGTAGCGCGCACATGCAATAAGAAAACGCGAAAGCAGTCAGAAATAAAAATTTTTTCTTTCGAAAAACGTCTAAGAAATAGTCTTTCCTTAATTATGAGGGTTTTAGAGGAAAAATAACCGATTTGGCTACGAAAGTGTAGCAAAACTAAGGAAAAGCACTTTTTAGACATTTGTCTGACGAATAAGTTTTTTTTTTCAGCGTTTTTATCAGAAAATGCCTTGAATTTACATTTTTTTAATGGACGTGCATAGTGCTGCATCGCGATTTACGTTTGAGCGTTTAAGTGCGTTTTTCAAAAAGTTTGTATGCTTAGAGAACGTGCATGTCAGTGTTGGTGTGGGTGGATATGTGCGTGGCGTTATGAGAGGTGTTTTGATCGACTGACACTCCCAATCACATCAACACCAACACACTCACACACTCAGATCCATACTCACGCCGTTCACACCTACACTTCACCCTCGAAAGAGATGCAGGTTTTGTTGTTATAGCGGTTTAATTTGAAAAATGGTCGCATTTCCTCAGAAACATAAGATAGTAAATATATCAAAATCGCAACAGATATCTTTTTGTATTATGATTTTTAATATCTCAAAAGACTACGATTCGTGCTGTGGTTTTTTATTTCCTTTTAAACATTATATTTCTCTTCGATGTTCCCTGGAAGATTCAAACAAATACGGTTGGGTGTGGGTGTGGGTGTGGATGTGGGTGGGTGTGGGTGTGGTGTGGGTGTGGGTGTGGGTGTGGGTGTGGGTGTGTGGGTGTGG